TAGAAAGTAAGCTCCTTCAAAGCAGATATATTGTTCTTTTGTGCATTGCAATATTCCCAGAATCTATAATGACACATAGCACATGGTAGGCACTTAATAAATATTACTTTTTAATAAGGAATAAACATTGATAGCAGAGGAGCTATTGTCATTCTTTTTTACTCTTAGAACTACCTAAGAATTCTGTGGTCCATCTTAATATTTGGGTCTGAACATAGTTACTTAGAGTTCTGTTGGTATTTTACTTCTCAGCCTATAAAATTTCAAAGCAAGAGAGTGTACTTCCCTAAGATGCCTTACACATTTAAGTAATATTAGTAAATCCCATTCCCAATGAATGGTAAGTGCATTTATGTATTTGTTGCTGACAGCCTATTACGTTCTTATCCTTATTTATTAATTGCTTTTAAATGATTAGTTAAAAGTTCTGTAAAACTTAACCTGTAATTATTTTATGTGTTTTACTATGGGTAAAGTTATTCTAGATAAAACTACCTTGCTTATAAATCAGAACTGAGAATACTTGTGAACAATTCTAAACTCCTTTATTTCTCTTTTCTCTTTCAGATTCCACTAGTATCCATTGAGGTAAGTGAAACGAAGCATTCCATAATTACATGGAAAGTAATAAATTTAGGGACAATGTTCTTATTTGAGAGATTCTTACAATATCCCAGAAACTTGTCATTAAGGGAGAAGCCTTCAAACTCATGTAACACAGATGGTTCTAACTCATCTCCCCTCCCCATTCCTTATGACCATCCCAGTTTCCTCTTTGTGGATAACATAGTTTCTATAGATTCCCTAAATTGTCTCTAATGCTCTAAGCTCTTTTGTAATTTTCAATTAATGTATCTATAGGACCCCAAAGGAAATCGCATCGCACAATGGCAGAAGGTCAAGTTAGAGAGTGGCCTCAAGCAATTGGCCTTTCCCCTCTCATCAGAGCCATTTCTGGGCTCCTATAAGGTGCTGGTACAGAAAGAATCAGGTGAAACGGCAGAGCACCCCTTCACCGTGGAGGAATTTGGTATGAATTATGGAAAATCATGGAATAGTTTTCTTCATATTTAAACTTCTAGGGCTTAGAATTTGAGTCTATTTTGAATCCTTTCACTTTTCCTGGGTGAGATTGGGGTTGGAGTGGAACCAATTATATACCTTACTCCCATTAAGACAACTAATGCTTTGTGAATAGGACTTTATATGGCTTAGTTATATTTATAGCAATTTTTTCATCTCCAAGAAATAGAAAACATCCTTGTTTTAGTAAGATTACAGAGGTCTGTGATCGTCCT